CAGAAGCGGTGAATGCTCCAACACTGGAAGTTTTTAAGAAGAGACTGGACAGCCATTTGTCTGAAATGGTATAGGGTTTCCTGCCTGAGCAGGGGGTTGGACTAGATGACCTCCAAGGTCCCTTCCAACTTTACTATTATTATTATTATTATTATTATTATTATTATTATTATTATTATTATTATTATTATTATTATTACTACTACTACTACTATTATTATTATTATTATTATTATTATTATTATTATTATTATTATAACAGAGTAGAAAAGAAAGTAGTGGCGCTATTAGCAGCAGTGGAGGAAGCAGGCTGTTGCTCACTGTTGTGTGAAACCATAAAGCGTCTTAAGCAATACTTTGCCCAGGTCAGAGGGCAAAGGTACCATGTGGAGATCTTGATGGCCATCTTCCTTCCAGGCTCAGCGCTTCACAAGCCATGTTGTTGCTGTCCCTGCTTTTGATGATCGTCTGCTTTCCCCTGCCTGCAAAAGCCGAAGTGGTGCAAGACTTCAAGAATTGCCTGGACTTCTTTTTGGATAAGTCGCCACCTGGAGATGCTCTAACGCCGGGCAACCCTGCCAGGATTTGCCAGTTTTACAACAACGCCTACCATTTCGCCACGATGTACGATCGAGAGAAGCGCATCCCCATATACTCTGCTTACAAATGCAAGCCCGGACAAGGCGCCCGATACCGCGGTTGGATGATTGAGCCTCAGGTAAAGGCATTTTTTTCCCCCTCGCCCGCCTAGCTCTAGAGATGGTCTGCTTCATACGGTCTGTTTCTAACCGTTGACCCATCTAGCTCAGGATTTCTCAAGCTCCGCAGCTTTAAGCTATGTGGATTTCTGGATTCTGGAGATGTCCAGAATTCCCCAACCACGCGGGGGTCCTTGGTGCTCTCTACACTTGGTGGCCTTCTTACAGACATTTCATTATCCAAACTAGAGAACATCCTCAGGGATCCTTAGGTCGTGGAATGTCTGCAAGAAAACCACCAAGTACAAGAGAGCATCAAGGACCCCTCATTTCAACCCTCAGCTACACATGTTCTCCAACCAGCATGCAGAGAATTTGGACGTACATTATGGGAAGGCAGAGTCTGACACAGATCAATCATCTATCTAGCTCTTTCTCCCTCTCCCTCTCCCTCTCTGTAGAAGTCATATTGCAGTGGCATCAGCAACCAAGAATGCCAGTGGGCTTCCCTTTATCAGAAGTGTTCAAGTGAGGACTGGAAGGTGATTTATTTGGATTGTTTTAATTTGGATCCTTGCCTTGAAAGAGATTTTGGATTCTACGTCCTCAACGTCTTATCATTTCTCTGTGTCTAAAATTCCATTAATAATAATAATAATAATAATAATAATAATAATAATAATAATAATAATAATAATAATAATAATAATAATAATAATAATAATAATAATAAAGTTGGAGGGGACCTTGGAGATCATCTAGTCCAACCCCCTGCTCAGGCAGGAAACCCTATACCATTTCAGACAAATGGCTGTCCAGTCTCTTCTTAAAAACTTCCAGTGTTGGAGCATTCACCGCTTCTGGAGGCAGGTTGTTCCTCTGGTTAATTGTTCTGTCAGGAAGTTTCTCCTTAGTTCTACTGTAGGTTGCTTTTCTCCTTGATTAGTTTCCATATGTTGCTTCTTGTCCTGCCTTCAGGTGCTTTGGAGAATAGCTTGACTGCCTCTTCTTTGGGGCAGCCCCTGAGATACTGGAAGACTGCTCTCATGTCTCCCCTCGTCCTTCTCTTCATTAAACTAGACATTCCCAATTCCAGCAGCCATTCGGGAGTCCCGTCGGGAGAAGGGCGGGATATAAATTAAAATAAATAATAAATAAAATAATTCCTTATATGTTTTAGCCCCCAGTCCCCTGACCATCTTTGTTGCTCTTCTCTGTACTGTTTCTAGAGTCTCAGCATCTTTTTTACATCGTGGTGACCAAAACTGGATGCAGTATTCCAAGTGTGGCCTTACTAAGGCCTTGTAAAGTGGTATTAATACTTCACGTGATCTTGATTCTATCCCTCTGTTAAGGCAGCCCAGCACTGTGTTGGCCTTTTTGTCCAGGTTCTTCCTTCTTCGGTTGATCCCCTAACCTGGGTTGGCGTCGCATGTTTCCTTTGAGCTACTAACTCTGCTCCGTTTGCTTTCCAGCTTGCGGATCCCACTTTAGGCAAGAGCATGGAGGACGAGCGTCAAGCCAACATTCCTGCTGATACGATAAAAAAGAGCCAGGCCGTCTCTGAAGATTACACCCATTCCTTAAGCATCGAAAAGGGGCACCTGAACCCCGTGGGCCATCAGCCCAACGAAGAGANTCCCCTCCCGGGCTGCCAGTACCAGCCAGGAGGGACACGGATCTAATAAACATGTGGTTGCATTCAGCCTCCCCAAGACCCTGTCCACATCTTCAGGAGCAACAGAGTCAAACTCCTCCCATACAACCGTCTCAAGACCTGCTCCCGTCTCCTCCTCCTGGGCCAACCAGTCGGAGTCTAAGCCTTCTCGGATCCGAGCCTTCTCGGATCTGTGCAGTATATATGTATATATCTATGTAGGTCTTTGGCAGTATATATCTATATATGTATATATAGAGATTAAGAATTATATGTATGATGAGAAACAAATTGTTAGGAATATATACACTGGAATGTTACGTTATGTCCATCTTTGTTTTAACTGTTTTATAAATAAAAAACTTTTTTTTTTAAAAAAAGAGTTTATCTGTGCATAGAATAGATATTTCCATTTTATAAGGCACTTAAATCAGGATGTAATTTTAGTATTATGGATTGAATTTATTATAACATACAACTACCTCAGGCTATATGGGTTACTGTTTGTAACTCTTGCATTTCCCCCAACATTATTTGGTGATTTATCTTGTGTTGACTATGGTTCTTCATATGCCTTTAAGCTGAAATTTAACAGTGATTAATAATAATAATGTGATAGAATATATTTGCCACCAGTTAATGCTATCTTAGAAGCTACAATCTCTATACTATTTTGAAATCCTTGGTTTATTCATCTGTATGATATTCTTTTATTGTTTTTTCATGCTGTTTCTTGTACTTGTTTATGTATTTTCTTTAAAGTGCCCAATAAAACAAACAAACAAAAAAAGAAAGAGTCCTAGTAGACAATCACCTAAACATGAGCCAGCCGTGTGCTGCAGCTGCCAAAAAAGGCCAACACAATGCTACGCTGCATTAACAGAGGGATAGAATCAAGATCACGTGAAGTGTTAATACCACTTTACAAAGCTTTAGTACAGCCACACTTGGAATACTGCATCCAGTTTTGGTCACCAGAATATAAAAAAGATGTTGAGACTCTAGAAAGAGTACAGAGAAGAGCAACAAAGATGATCAGGGAACTGGAGGCTAAAATATATACAGTAAGGAACGGTTGCTGGAATTGGGTATGTCTAGCTTAACGAAGAGAAGGACGAGGGGGGACATGATAGCAGTGCTCCAATATCTCAGGGGCTGCCCCAAAGAAGAGGGAGTCAAGCTATTCTCCAAAGCGCCTGAAGGCAGGACAAGAAGCAACGGATGGAAACTCATCAAGGGGAGAAGCAACCTGGAACTAAGGAGAAACTTCCTGACAGTGAGAACAATTAACCAGTGGAACAACCTGCCTCCAGAAGCGGTGAATGCTCCAACACTGGAAGTTTTTAAGAAGAGACTGGACAGCTGTTTGTCCGAAATGGTATAGGGTTTCCTGCCTGAGCAGGGGGTTGGACTAGATGACCTCCAAGGTCCCTTCCAACTCTTCTTCTTCTTCTTCTTCTTCTTCTTCTTCTTCTTCTTCTTCTTCTTCTTCTTCTTCTTCTTCTTCTTCTTCTTCTTCTTCTTCTTCTTCTTCTTCTTCTTCTTCTTCTTCTTCTTCTTCTTC